ACAGTTCTTCTTTACGGAAGATCTGTACTTCAGTGTTTTAATGTATAGTTTAATTGTCGAATCGGATGGCAGATGTTTCTGGGTTACTTCTGCGATAGATAATATATACGGGGCCTATGAAAATAAATGTTGTCTTCATACATTTTTTAAAAGTTCCTAACTAATGCTCGTAACTGGGACAATTTTTCTTTTTTTTCTCCTACAGAGCATTCTACAGATCTACCTAATCATTTGAAAGAATTACTTAAATACAAAGTGATAGCTTAACTTTTTTGAGAACTGGACTCTATATGTACCACATTTCATCAAGTTCCCGTCATTTCATCACTACTCGGTCCAATTATTTGTTCTAAATTTCATTTAATACTCAAAACACATTCGGAACCTCTGTTAATTATCTACCACACGCATGCTCGTACTTAATTTTGCCAGCGACAGTAACAATAATTCTGGTATAAAGTTTTTCTTGTTGTTGCTGTTGTTAAGCATGCATGAATACATATGTATGCATGTCATTCATGCATGCAGTAGACAAGACAACCACATAAAAAAAAACAAAGATTTGTTAGTTTTGGCAAATCTGCCTGTTCGTCTATCTGTCGTTTCGTTTGCCTGATAGTCATAAACTAGTTTTATATGATTTCCCAACCCTGTTCGTTGTTTGAAATTTTGTTGTAGCCGCAGACGCAGCTGCTGTTAACTGCGAAGCGTTGTCTTAACCAAATGTTTAACTGTGGCAAAGCTCCTTTGAACATTGACTCTGTGCGCCGTTTATTAGTTTGTTGTTTTTTTGCTAATCAAGTTTTTTTTGTTTGCTGTTTCTTTTATTTATGTATTTCTATGCCATCAGGTGGTTACCAAATCTTGTAAAGCAAGAAGTGTAGAGAAGGAGGCAGGTGACTTAAGAGGGGACGAACTTAAAGAATTCTTTTTAGGTTTATTTTTATTTTTGGCATTAGATGCAGTCGTGTGAAGCGCGCACTTGTGCATATAGAAGTTATTGAACAGATTTTATATTGCAAAAATAGACGTGTTTCGTAAAAAAATTTAACAAAAAAAAAAAAAAAAAACTGAGCTTCAAAAAAGATGTGTTGTGTTGCAATCTTGGCCATTTGTTATTATAGTTGTTGTTGTTACTTTGCTGTTGTTTGGCTTTAATGGGTTTTTGTATCTAAAAGCATTGAGTAACATTTATTATATTAATTCAAATAGATATGTACGTACAAAAACACACATTTACTGTTTCGACTATATGGTCTTGTAACCAGTAAGAATTTTTAGCCGTTTGTTAGTCAAAGTTGGTAAACGACTGTATTGAGAAATATTGTACATATTTCCATTGCAAAATAGCACAGACAAATTTCACTCTTAAGCAATGGAGAAGGCACCATCAACAATAACAACAATCATCATCGCCATCACATAACATTGACCTCAAAAGCAATTAGTGAAAGCAATCCTCGGAATTCTATGTTCTATTCCTCTTCTTTATTATTATTTCAAACCGGATCAATTAAATGTTTATTTGTTGTGGTCTGGTTTCGTTTCGTTTTTCTTTCTTCTTCTTTTTCTTACTTTTGAATATTGGGTCAAAAATGAAATTGTTAAGTGTAACAGATTGTTTTGAAAATGAAGAGAAAGAATGTGGATTAATGGTAGAAAAGCGGTAATGGTGGTAATGGAATGTATTTACTTTTCATATTTATCGATGTGAATGGAAAATTTGCGGAATAGGCTTAATTGATGTTTAGTTTCCCTGAATTTTCAAACATGTTTAGAGTACTTAATAAGTAATAATATTTTCTGGAATATTAAAAAAACGTTGAAGCATCATGTTTGCAAAATGTTCTAGGACCAAGTTTATGCTACAACCTTGCAAAATACAATGTTGCACCAACATGTGTATACAATATCATGGCAGTATGTTTACAGCAACAGTATCATAAGGAAATGTTTATATTGTAAATCATTTGCAACATTTATTAGGCAACAAAGTAGTACAAACATGATTAACTAGACTATAGATAGATTATATTATAAACCAGACTATAGACTAGACTGAAGACCGGACTATAGACGATACTATAGCCTAGACTATAGACTAGACTATAGACTAGACTATAGACGAGACTATAGACTAGACTATAGACGAGACTATAGCCTAGACATAGACGAGACTATAGACTAGACTATCGACGAGACTATAGACTAGACTATAGACTAGACTAAGATAGACTATAGACGAGACTATAGACTAGACTATAGACGAGACTAGACTAGACTATAGACTAGACTATAGACGAGACTATAGACTAGACTATAGACTAGACTATAGACTATACCTAATAGACTTAGACTATAGACTAGACTATAGACTAGACTATAGACTAGACTATAGACGAGACTATAGACTAGACTATAGACTAGACTATAGACAGGACCTATAGACTAGACTATAGACTAGACTATAGACTAGACTATAGACTAGACTATAGACTAGACTATAGACTAGACTATAGACTAGACTATAGACTAGACTATAGACTAGACTATAGACTAGACTATAGACTAGACTATAGACTAGACTATAGACTAGACTATAGACTAGACTATAGACTAGACTATAGACTAGACTATAGACTAGACTATAGACTAGACTATAGACTAGACTATAGACTAGACTATAGACTAGACTATAGACTAGACTATAGACTAGACTATAGACTAGACTATAGACTAGACTATAGACTAGACTATAGACTAGTCTATAGACTAGACTATAGACTAGACTATAGACTAGACTATAGACTAGACTATAGACTAGACTATAGACTAGACTATAGACTAGACTATAGACTAGACTAGAGTAGACTATAGACTAGACTATAGAATAGACTATAGACTAGTCTAGACTATAGACTAGACTATAGACTAGTCTAGACTATAGACTAGACTATAGACTAGACTATAGACTAGACTATAGACTAGACTATAGACTAGACTATAGACTAGACTATAGACTGGACTATAGACTAGACTATAGACTAGACTAGACTAGACTATAGACTAGACTATAGACTAGACCTATAGACTAGACTATAGACAAGACTATAGACTAGACTATAGACTAGACTATAGACTAGACTATAGACTAGACTATAGACTAGACTATAGACTAGACTATTAGACTAGACTATATAGACTAGACTATAGACTAGACTATAGACTAGACTATAGACTAGACTATAGACTAGACTATAGACTAGACTATAGACTAGACTATAGACTAGACTATAGACTAGACTATAGACTAGACTATAGACTAGACTATAGACTAGACTATTGACTAGACTATTGACTAGACTATTGACTAGACTATAGACTAGACTATAGACTAGACTATAGACTAGACTATAGACTAGACTATAGACTAGACTATAGACTAGACTATAGACTAGACTATAGACTAGACTATAGACTAGACTATAGACTAGACTATAGACTAGACTATATACTAGACTATAGACTAGACTATAGACTAGACTATAATAGACTATAGACTAGACTATAGACTAGACTATAGACTAGACTATAGACTAGACTATAGACTAGACTATAGACTAGACTATAGACTAGACTATAGACTAGACTATAGACTAGACTATAGACTAGACTATAGACTAGACTATAGACTAGACTATAGACTAGACTATAGACTAGACTATAGACTAGACTATAGACTAGACTATAGACTAGACTATAGACTAGACTAGACTATAGACTAGACTATACACTAGACTATACACTAGACTATAGACTAGACTATAGACTAGACTATAGACTAGACTATAGACTAGACTATACACTAGACTATAGACGACTATAGACTAGACTATAGACTAGACTATAGACTAGACTATAGACTAGACTATAGACTAGACTATAGACTAGACTATAGACTAGACTATAGACTAGACTATAGACTAGACTATAGACTAGACTATAGACTAGACTATAGACTAGACTATAGACTAGACTATAGACTAGACTATAGACTAGACTATAGACTAGACTATAGACTAGACTATAGACTAGACTATAGACTAGACTATAGACTAGACTATAGACTAGACTATAGACTAGACTATAGACTAGACTATAGACTAGACTATAGACTAGACTATAGACTAGACTATAGACTAGACTATAGACTAGACTATAGACTAGACTATAGACTAGACTATAGACTAGACTAGACTAGACTATAGACTAGACTATAGACTAGACTATAGACTGGACTATAGACTAGACTATAGACTGAACTATAGACTGGACTATAGACTATACTATTAACTACCAGAAGGACTACGTATCAAAAGTTTATAATTTGATAAAGTACAATTTTGGTTACAGAGAATTTCCGGGAATGAAATTGAAATGTCGGAATAATTTTTGAATATAGACAAGTTGTAAATGATTAACTGCTATTAGACAAAAATGTTTATTCTCTTTCAGCAACAAATTTTTGAACTGTGATATTTTAGTAACGAAAAATAATTGAACAATTAATTTAGGTTAAATCAATTTACAACCAAAACAAATATTTACCATAAAATGCATTTGAAATAAAAGTTGACGCAATCAAAAAAAAAAACATAGAATACTAATAAAAACCCAAGCAACACACATTAAAAGATGTTTGTAATCAGAACGTAAATTGGCTTAAATGGCCAACAAGCAACAAGTTTAAAGAGATTCTCTATGATGGGCATTAAATTACAGATAATTTTGTATTGCCACCACACAAATGTAAAACAAATTACTTACAGATAAATGTTAAAAATAAAAAAAAAAAACTTGTGCAATTTCCAGCATTTGAATAAATTAACAATTTTTTATTATTTTCATTTGCATATGTACCAACAACAACAAACTTGCTATAACTACTAGTGAAATATATGATTTTAATAGCATTTCCTTTTTGTGAATTTTTTTTTTAGCAAAATGACCGACACAATGAGTTCTGCCGGTCAGATGGATATCTCGTTAAAAGATAATGGACTCATTGTAGACATGTCGACAACAGCCTCTTTACTACATCACAATACATTATCAGCACACGCTCATGCTTTGCGCAGTCTGAAGGAACATCATCAACAGCAGCAACAACAACAGCAACTACATCATCATCACAGTTCGGAAGAACAATCCTCTTCGTCGTCCGATAATGGCGGCGACAATAAGCCACAATTGCAAAATACACCCATCACAGCCAATGTTAGTATATCGCCCACAAATCTATCAACGAATACCGCCAGTTCACCATCGCTCACTACATTCCGCTGCGAAAGCTGTGACAATTTCGAAACGAGTTCAAGAGCCTCCCTGCTACTGCATGTTGTACAGTGTTTATCGAATTCGGCCGCAGCCGCACGTCTCAAAAACGAAGATGTTGAACCGGAAAATTTACAGAATCCAGCCAGTGCAGCAACGCCAACAAGTGCATTAAATGTGACCGATAACAGTCACCCCAGTGTGGTAACAGCCAATAGTGCGGTGGTTAGTGCCATTGCCAATGGTAGTGCCAGTAGTCCGGCCGCCAATTCTTCGACTTCATCACAGCCAGCCTCTCGTAAAGTATTCGAATGTGATGTGTGCAATATGAAATTTTCCAATGGGGCAAATATGCGGCGCCATAAAATGAGACACACGGGTGTCAAGCCTTATGAATGCCGGGTGTGCCAAAAGAGGTAATTATCATTATTTATAAAATAATAATAATAATAATTTGTTAATTTTCTTATTTCTTAATTAGATTCTTCCGTAAAGATCATTTGGCTGAGCATTTTACTACACACACGAAAACGCTGCCGTATCATTGTCCCATTTGTAATCGTGGTTTCCAGCGCCAAATAGCCATGAGAGCTCATTTCCAAAATGAACATGTAGGTCAACATGATCTCGTCAAAACTTGCCCTCTATGCAGTTATCGAGCGGGTTCTATGAAATCCCTTAGAATACATTTTTTCAACAGGTATTTTTTCAAGGATTTCATAATTAAATTGGGGAATTAATTTTGTTTTTATTATTTCCCAAGACATGGCATTGATTTGGATAATCCGGGACCGGGCGGTTCATCGTCGCTGTTGCTCGCTCTGGAGTCACAGGCATCACAAGTAGCTGCCGCCGCTGCTGCTGCCGGTTTTGTACCGACCGGCTTAAATGCCGTAGCAGCAGCGGCAGCAGCTGCTGCCAATGCAGTCAATTCCAATGCGGCCATTGTCTCGGCCGCCGCCAACAGTATGCCCAGCCACCAGAGCGACAGCGGCGAGTCGCTACGTTCCGTGGAGAATGCTACACCACCCATGCACTTCTTAACACCACATGTGGAGATCTCAACCTTGCCCGACAATGGCCTCTCGGATAACGCCATATTCAATGTAAAGCAAACTTCCAATATTAATGATTCTCTTAAGTCTGTAGTAAATTCATTGACTTCCTCTACTTCATTCTATTCTCGTTCGTCCGTTGAGAATGTGCTCTTATGCGTTTTGCGTGCATTTGATTTGCAGGGTCACACCACAACAACCACAACAACAGCATCATCGGCCTCACCAACATCGGCATCCACTACCATACACACGGCCGGAAGTACCACAACTGAGGGAGGCGGCGGTGGAGGGGGACCGAAGGATCGTGATACCATAATGCAGTCACCGGTACCGTTGACCATTAGCAGTATGCCACCACAGGAACATCCCTTAGATTGTAATGCCAAATCGTTGCCTTCAAGTACCAGTAGCAGTAGCAACAGCAGTGCGAGTGGACCTCTCTGTGGACCGATGACATCGGTATCGCCAAAACAGCATCATCATGAGAATCATATAACACCCTCCATTAGTCTAATACCCATCAAACAGGCAAGTATTATTTCGTTAATAATTCGGATAGCAGGGCGAAAAAAGTCTGGGTCCAAATAATGACACTTGATGCTGTTTAATGTCGTAATTTGGCCCCTGATTTAATCACTTTCGGTCTTACTGATTAAGATTTAGAATAAAGATTTTAAATTGAGTACTTCTATTGATTTACGATTAACAGGAGCCCCCTAGCGAAGATTCTATTAAAAATAATATGAATGGAGACGCCTTGAATGGCGGAGACAGTAGTGAATCCGAATTCTCAGCACCCAATATGAGATTGACATCATTGATTAAGGTAAATTGTAGAATGGATCATCATTCTACACAAGTTAAAGCTATTCCCTATAAATATAAGAAATATCTCTATATATATTTTTGATGTCTCCTCCTATTTGTCAATTTCCCAACAGAGGACTTTAAACTATTTTACACTTTTGTTATAGAATTTTTAATAAAAATTTCAAAATTATTGCACAAGTATCCTAATAAATTCCATAAATTAATTTCAGATGCCACTTATTTCTTATGAACCCTTACAGGTATCACCTCTAAAATCTCTACTCAGAGAAGATCTTAAACGGCGCATTTGCGCCAAAGCTAATAATCGTATTACCCGTAATGCTGCCTCTATGGAAAATAATAATGTGATACAAAGCAGTTTAACGCCCACATGTGGAGCGGCCACTTCGTCTACGCCCATCTGCAATGGTACGATTACCTCGACGGGACCCGAAAGTGATTCGGGTGTATTAAATCGCAAACAAATACTAACTTGCCTATTCTGTGGCATTGAATTTCCCGATGAAACGCTGTATTTCCTGCACAAGGGCTGTCATTGTGAGAGTAATCCCTGGAAGTGTAATATATGCGGTGAACAGCTGAACAATGTCTACGAATTCAATGCTCATTTATTGAGTAAGAGTCATCAATAGCAACCAATGTCCAAGGATGTTCAGGCAACATCTACGACCTTAAGTGAGGCAAAAAGCTCTTTGTAAGTAATCTCTTTAAGTAAAAGAGAGAGAAATTTTAGTCAGTGGCTTAGACAGAGAGACAGACAGTGTTATAGGAAAAAAGAGCCAGAAGAGAGGCATTTCTTTTTATGAAGTTTTTAAATTTTTATTTTAATTACATTTTTAACAAACTAAAACAAATACTAGTTGTAAGTTGTTCTTTTAACAAACCAACAAAAACAAAAAATACATTTAAAAAACAAACAAAAAACAAGTGGGCAATGGCAATATTTTAAGTAAATTAATAAAAAATTTTAAAAATTTAATAACAATTGAAAAATTAAAAAAAAATTAACAAAAAACATTGGAGTGTGATAGTTAGTCGTTAGATTTAAAATTGAGTAATTTAAACTAAATTTTTCAGTTAAAAAAAAAAAAGAAAAGCAAGAAAAATCTATTTTAATTTTAAACAAAAAAAAAAAAAAAAAAAAAAACTGCATGATAACAAACCAATAGTTGCACTTATTTAACTTGATAGTTAAAAAAATAAGAAAAAACAAACAATACATTTAGTTTAAAAATACTTTAAAACAATAAATTCTAAATTTAGAACTTTAAGAAAGGACTTTTCTGAGTCCCAAACTAAAAACGAAATATTTCCATTTCTAACTGAACAAAAAGTTTAATGCAAATAGAGAAAAAGTTGGAAAAGTGTTGAAAAAAACATGTGATAAGTTTTATATTGGTTAAAAAAAACTGATTTAAGCTGGACACAGTGGTTTGTTAAGAGTTTGATAAAGATGAAAATTTAATTTCAAATTTCTCCAAAATTTGAAAAACTTTTTGAAAATCGATCGAAATTTTTTTTAAGCTCAAAGTCAAGATTAAAAAAAATCTATATAAAAAACCCTCCTGAGTATATTAAGCTGTGCTGAATCCGAAAATGACCTAAAAACATGAGGTTTTCAAATTTATATATCATCTGAGAGGCCCATCTAATGAGTTTAAAATAAGATATGAATATATTTATGGCAAATATTTCCACCGATAATATGACAGTAATTTAATAGATATCGTGTACCCCTAGGAACCCATAGCAACATTCTAGCGGCTTCAAATGTATCTCTCAATTACCCGAAAATTTTGATTTTCATAACTTTAACTGCCTTTTTACCTCATGCCATAGAAATTAGTCGAATTGCGAATGTGAAATGAGGAGCTTAAAGCGTAAGCCGTTACATTATGGGGCTCAAAACTTCCTCACTAATTTGAAGACTTCCTCACTAATAGAAGGGACTTCTGATCTTTACCATTCGAACAAAAGTTTTATGGGAAAAAGTCATAACAAGTTGTGAATTACAAATTTGCCGTGAAATTAGTGTTAAATACAGTAGTTTTCCGATTTAACGAACCCATATGTTGTCAGGCCTGTTCGTAAAATTGAAAAGTTCGTTATATGCAGTACTAACTAAAACGTGGGTTTTTGGTAGGAAAATAATTAAAAATAGGTGCATAAAATATTTTTTAAATGTATTTTATAAAAATTAATTCTTTTTTTATAAAAATAGCACAAAACACAAAATTCCGAATCTTATATATCCACCTTCAAACCATATTTGTGTCGAATTTCATCGCTGTATTTTTAATTCAGTCATGAGCGTTAAAGTTATTTCTCGAAGTTCATCGCTATACTCGTATTTTTAAGCGAGTAATGAGCGTTGAAGGTCAATTATGGACCGATTCCCATAAAATTTGTTAGAGATTTCTGTTAGTATAGAACATGTTTGAATCGAATTTCATCGGCGTACTCGTATTGTTAAGCGAGTAATGAGCGTTAAAGTCATTATCTGAAGGACGGACGGACATAGCTACATCGAACTAAAATTTAATAAGAACCCAGAATGTGTTACAGTTTTGGCTATAAAAGCACCGCTACAACTTAGGTTATTTGTTATTTTTGATAAATGTCATTTTATCTTCATTTAAATAATATTTTTATTAGTTCGTTAAACAGAGTACAAAAAACAAGTTTTGTTCGTTATTTAAGGTAGTCAATAGGAAAAATTAGCTTGTTCGTTAAATGCGATGTTCGTAGAATTGAATGGTCGTTAAATCGGAAAACTACTGTATTGCGATTTTTCTCATAAAGCTTTTTCAAACTTTAGGTTAAGATATTTCCAAGTAGTAATAAGATATAACAGAGGTTATACCTCTATTTTGAAGCCAATAAACAAGACTTTCAGATTACTTTACAAATGTTATAAATATAGAGGACTTCAAGTGGTTATAACGTTTTCAGCTCAAGTCAATCTTTAAGATAAGTATATTCTGTTGTTTGTGTTGATCTGTGTAATCGAAATTTTTTAAATTTTTCTTAAAAAAGCTATATAAAGGGATTTTTACATATCTCGAAATCAATTGGATATTCGCTCTGAAACGATCTAAGTCTTACTCTTCCCAAGATTTTCAAGCTGATTTTTAGCTGCAGCAGAGTTCAAACGAAATATAAGCTGTACCAACCGAAAGCTTTTTTGGAAATCGCGAATGTTCAAATTCTAAGGTCATATTAGGATTTAGCAGAGTTCTAGCTGCAGCAGAGTTCAAGCAAAATATATTCAGGTCTTAGGTTTTAATCTGTGTAATCAAAAAGTTTTAAAAATTTCTTAAGAAAGCTTTTTCGTTTTTTATTTTAAACGAAATTAAGACCGAAACGATCTGTGTTATACCCATCCCAAGATTGTCAACTCAGCAATAGCTTTACCAATCGAGACTATGGACTAGACTATATACTAGACTATAGACTAGACTATAGACTAGACTATAGACTAGACTACAGACTAGACTATAGACTAGACTATAGACTAGACTATAGACTAGAATATAGACTAGACTATAGACTAGACTATAGACTAGACTATAGACTAGACTATAGACTAGACTATAGACTAGACTATAGACTAGACTATAGACTAGACTATAGACTAGACTATAGACTAGACTATAGACTAGACTATAGACTAGACTATAGACTAGACTATAGACTAGACTATAGACTAGACTATAGACTAGACTATAGACTAGACTATAGACTAGACTATAGACTAGACTATAGACTAGACTATAGACTAGACTATAGACTAGACTATAGACTAGACTATAGACTAGACTATAGCCTATAGACTAGACTAGACTATAGACTAGACTAGACTAGACTAGACTAGACTTAGACTAGACTAGACTAGACTAGACTATAGACTAGACTATAGTCTAGACTATAGACTAGACTATAGACTAGACTATAGACTAGACTATAGACTAGACTATAGACTAGACTATAGACTAGAATATAGGCTAGACTATAGAGAATGATTGAGACATTCTAATAACAAATTCGAAGATCGAACTTTAAGCTAAAAATATTTTGGCTTCTGGGTAATGGACAAGTTTTAAATCTTTTCCTAAGAAAGCTTTACGACAATTGTAGCTGCGCTCCCGAACGAACGTCACTGTTAAAGTAATCAAAAGTTTTTTCAACAACTCTATTTTAACAATTAAACAAAAAGAAAGACATCTTTATGAAATTAAACAAATTCTATAAAAAAAATCTGGTCATTTAAACAGGGATTCTAAAAATATTTACAATTTAATAAAAAAATAACAACAGAATCCTAAAGTTTATATTCAAAATGATAAAAGTACCTTAAATACCAATAAAAAATTAAAGGAAAATAAAACACTTTAATAAAAAACATTCATTTATACGTATAAATAAAACAAAAAGAAATGTTTTAATTAATATAAAAAAAAATATATTTTTATTTTAAAAAAACCTAAATAAAAAAATTAGACTCTTTAATAAGTTTTAACCTAAAAAAGCAATAATAAATAAAATTTAAACAAAAAAATTTAATCAAAAATGTAGCCTCTAGTTAAAAAAGTAAAAAAACAAACAAAATGACAAAAAAAATTAACAAAAATATTTTTGTAAAACAAAGCTACGTAGATACCTATCTTCCTTAGAAGCATTAGAAAAAACAACAACAACAATATGTATAACAAAAATAAAGAAAAAATTTATATATATTTAATAAATATTATTAAAATAATAGTTAAATTTATATATTTTATAATTTTGTTTCTTGTTAAAAATCTTTTTTCTTTTTTGTTAAACTACAATTTTAAACTTAAAATTAAAAACACACACACACAGTAAAGTAGAAAACAAGTTAACGGTTTGTAATATTTAAAAAAAAGAAACTTAACAGAATACTGTTAAATTAACATTTACTTAGTAGTTAGCAGTTTGTTATATTATTATTAATTAAAATAAAATAATAATAAAAAAAATCTTGTTATTGAATTATTAGAATTCAACTACAATTATATTTAATTGAATTGTTAAACATAAAAAAGTAAAATATTTACTTGCATTAATATATAAAATAAAAACAATTTGTACTATAATATTAATAAATAAAATATCTACTATTAGCCGAAAGAAAAGAAGAAGAATTTTTTTTTTTTTTAAAAAAATGAAAAATTTCTTTTTTTTAGATTTTAAATCAAAAAGCACATCACTTAAAATGGCCTTTTCAAAATGGCTTTAAACAAATTGTTATTATTTTCAGAGTTTATTATAAAAGAAAATAAAATAATTATATATTTAAACAAAAAACTACAATAATAAATAAAGTAATTAACAATAAATAAATAACACTACTTTAATTAAAACAGTTATTTTCAAAATCAAATCAAAACAAAAACAATTCAAACGAAATAGTAGTTTTACCGCAATTATTTAAAACAATGAACATTTTAATAAAAAAATTAATACAAATACAATAGCGCACTTTGAAAAAAATTATAAAAATTTAATAAAACTATTTAAAACAAAAAAGACAACAATATTTCAACAATACTACAATACAGATCAAATAATTTTTAAATAAAAAAATAATAGTGCATAAATTTTGATTATTTAAATCAAATATAATTATTATATATAATAAAAAATGGAAATAAATATATATTATTAAGATATCCGTCCACAAATCCAAATGAGTAAAATACGAAAACAAAAAAAATATTTTAAAATTTAAGCAATAAAATTGTTAAAACAAAAAAACATAATGTTAACAGTTTAACGATATTTGGTGAAATTTAAGGATTTTTATTATCGTACACTGGGAACTAACAATGACTTCTAGTAGTATATTCCTAGAACTAACAACCTTTTAAATTTGTCTCGTCTATAGATATATATTGTGTCGATCATAATCTTGTCTATAGTTACGACTATAGTATTATCTATAATCTTAGATATAATCTCGAGTACAGTCTTGTCAATAATCTAGACTATAGTCTTGTCTATAGTCTCGACTATAGTCTTGTCTATAGTCTCGACTATAGTCTTGTCAATAGTCTCGACTATAGTCTTGTCTATAGTCTCGACTATAATCTTGTCTATAGTCTCGACTATAGTCTTGTCTATAGTCTCGACTATAATCTTGTCTAAAGTCTCGACTATTGTCTTGTCTATAGTCTCGACTATTGACTTGTCTATAGTCTCGACTATTGTATTGTCTATAGTCTCGACTTTGGTCTTGTCTATAGTCTCGACTATAATCTTGTCTATAGTCTCGACTATTGTATTGTCTATAATCTCGAATATAGCCTCGACTATAATATTGTCTATAGTCTCGATTATAATCTTGTCTTTAGTCTCGACTATAGTCTTGTCTGTAGTCTCGACTATAGTCTTGTCTATAGTCTCGACTATAATCATGTCTAAAGTTTCGACTATAATCTTGTCTAAAGTCTCGACTATTGTCTTGTCTATAGTCTCGACTATTGACTTTTTTATAGTCTCGACTTTAGTCTTGTCTATAGTCTCGACTATAATCTTGTCTATAGTCTTGTATTGTCTATAATCTCGACTATAGCCTCGACTATAATCTTGTCTATGGTCTCGACTATTAT